TTTATAATATAAGCAATAATTAAATGGACTAAATTAATTCTCTTTTTTGTTCATCCTTGTTACTCACACATATTTCTAGTTTTACCAGAGGCAAAAAGAAAAGGTTTCTGCTATTGTATTATTCAATGGTGGAAGAAATCTGAAAAAAAAATTTGAGTAACTAATATGATTCAATATAAGGAATAATGGCCATAAATATCCAATAAAAGTGTCGGATAAGGTTATCTCGAAAGCCAGTTTGTTGACATCTATTTGAAGGTTTTTAGAAATGCTTTTATTTGATAGAATAATCTCTTCATGAGATTCCTTTATCGAACTACATTCAATTTTTAGAACACCTAAGGAAATGGTTTCTTTTATTTTCATGAAAAATTTCAATGATTTTGTTATTTTTGACGCTTTGAAACCTTTTATGAATTGCATATAGTTTGATGAAGAAAAGTACCGAAGAGAAGCAAGCCAGTCATTGTGATTAGAAGTATTTTCTCTATCAAATAAAACCTTGTTTAACAAGCTACGAATGAATGTTAGACAGTTTGTTTTGGGAGATTTGGTTCTTTAAATATCCTTAGCTAAACAGTTTATTGGACTTTTTCAACTTCATCAATCTTGATAGAGAATTCTTTTAGTTACTCAATAGTTTTTCAGATTTTTCCTAGCTATTGCCATCGAAAAGAAAACTGAAAAGTACAATTATCCTAAACCTGTGCCTGTCATGATACTAGTCAATGACGAATCACTTGATTCAAACTTTCGTTGCTCTCTCAGAACATCATTAGGAATGATCTAACTCTAATTGACAAGTAACAAATACAATAACTACAAAAGAAACATTGAAAACATTCTCATTAGTAATTAATCACAATTATCAACATCTGCTCACATCTGCCTTTCTTTCAGCAGATGAAGCTAATTGTAGTTAGTTGTTAATCAAAATATTCTAATTATTCTTATCGTCTTCGTTACATTTGAATAAAAGAAAATCATTCCTAATGATATTTCCAGAAGGAAATGAAAGTTTAAATTAAGTCATCTGACAATGACTAGTTCAGCACAATACTATTCGTTGCAATTATTCGCTTCTGACTGAACCTTATGAGTATATATAGTCAACATGCTATCTTCACATATAGTTAGTCAGACGTAATTATAACAGAGCATATAAATGAACGATAGTGTGCAGGTACTGATGCATACATGCTTTTACATGTCTAGTGTGTGAATGAGTCAGAGAATAAACTATATTTGTGTGTGCTTGCCATAGCTATGAATGTGAGAATTGTTTAATGATGAATTTCGCATGTATGAATCGACAAATTACAGAATAGAATAATGCGAAAAATTGCAGAAGAATATGAAAGAGTCAATGAAAACGTTTGCGAGCATCATTTTTGCCTGTTTGCGCAAGCATCGTACAATAAAAGTTGAAAAGTTAATGACGATATGCACTATGTTTACAAAGATTTACACGTACGAGATATTTGTTTTACAAGCGGCTAGATCATTGTGTTATTTAAAAAGACAACACTAGCTTACATATTAGAAGTTGGCAAATAAACTTCGTAGACGAATATTTTTAACACTCAACTATTTGTTTCACACTTATTAACGCCCACAATAACTAGTATTGACTAACAGTAAATAAGACATGCAGGTACACAGTGCGTCATAAAAAGAATTACTACATATGAGCAGGCGGATGCTATTTTCTGCTGTAATTTTAAAAAATGCTAAGTCTTTCGATCATGCACACATTGTCATAATACAGTTTTAACAAGTTCTTATTGATCTACCCGAAAAATAATGCTTATTAATTTTTAATTTACAGATGAAAAGTATATACTATGCTAGAAACATTTCACCTTTGAACACAGGCAATAACGTGTGCAAAGACATAATTTTGTAAATTAACTGAAAATCGCTACATATATCTGAATCTGAAACGACTTGATACACAGTTTTGTTTTTGAACATCAACAGAAATCACCTATGTTCTGCTTGTATATATATATACAGTTTTTTTTCAAGAGTTTTGTCTCCATTATCAATGTTATTGATGTAGTATTAATTCATATATTCTTAATATGGCTTTTGAATCAAATGTCAATTAGCTGATTCGTACATGTCGCTCTTCTGAAATAAACTGCCGAATGGGAATCCACATCAATATTTTCATTTTGAAAATATATGCAAAAAAAAACAACTTCATGTCATTCCTCATTTTTCTATCAAATACGATGCAACTGGTATTTTTCCAAATGTTCAATGCGAACGTATGTCACATGATACTCTTTTTTAAGCTAAAGTTCTTCTTCAAGGTGAATGTATTTCAAAACTTGTTTTACCATTAATATTTTGCATTTTTTTATGACATGAGAACTAATGCCATAAAAATTAAATGAATTACGATAATCAAATACATCTCACCAATTAAAAAAGCCAAAGAATGTAGTTTAAAAATGTAAAAAAAAACAATTGTCTTCTACAACTCAAAAGCTCTCAAGTAGAAAAGAATTTTCTCTGATGAATCTAATTCTAGCATTTTCTATTTCTAGGTATTGCTGATCGAAGACCGATATAAATAAGAAAAGTTTTAATCGGATTTGATTTGGCTCACAATGTTACAGAACAAAATAAGATATCATTGCTTTCCCTACTATTACTTATTACTTATATTCTAATGTTCTTTTCAGAACAAGCTACTTATCTTTCTCTTCTCCCGTTCAATTCGCATTTTCTACACTTGATCTATTCATGCATATTCTAAGATCGTTTTTTTTTCCAAATCAAAAGTTCAATAGAAAGTATATTTTATAGTATAAAATTACTCATCAAAGTTTTTGGTATCAATGAACTCGAAAAGAAGGATATCATCGATGTTTGAAAGATCAGATTTTCATGAACGAAGAGTAACTATAAAAATTGAAAGACTAAAAACTAGGAATAAGTTAAATAGATACCAAAGATATGGTTGGCAGAAATCATTCAACAATCTAGAAATTACAATAAAAATGCTTTGTGTTCTTGATATACTTATAGTGTTAAAAATTAAAATACTTTTTCATTATTAAATTTATTATACCAAAGAATTACCATTAGGTTGTACATAAGCAGCTATCAAAAAAGTGTTGAACCTAACAGAGAATTGAAATTATAGTATTTGCCTGTATCATTTGATTACATATTTGCAACTAACACTTTCTTTGACACAAAAAAAAGACAAATTTGATTATAATTTCGAAACCGTTATTGTTTTCTTTTGTGTCCATGTGACTTATATTAGACGATTATCAGTTTCATGTAACATCATCAAGTTAATTTAGTTAGTATCAATTACACATCTATATAAAATAGAATATCATTTGTAGGTTTACAATTTAATATAAGCTGGAAGACTTTGAAATTTTTGAATCAACTAGTCTGCTTGGTCTAGTTGACTCTAAAATTAAAGAGTCAACTCGGACACATTTGTGAACGTTCAATTTGATCCTACTCAGAAGTTGAAATGAGATGGCCTAAAGCAAGATCAAACATTCCAATGTGAGGTCAATCCTATATTTAACTAATTTTTAAAGTAATCCAGAATAAAGCTCAGAGAAACTAGGACTATATGTACTTCAGTAGAATCTAAGATTCACTATCAGATCAAACTATCAGAAGCTGAATACAAGCGTACAGCCAGAAAGAGTTATATCAAGTCAGAGTTCCGGTGGATTCTGTACTATGACTGCATTAATTAATTTACCAACGAATTACAGTTATGTTTCATAATTTTTACAGTACTTGTTATTTTTTTCATAGTTTCTCAAAATTCTTTGGGACTTTATTGGGTTGGACTAGTTATTCAAGTCACTGAGTATGATCTGACTACAATAGGTGATCAATGTACAAAGTTCTATCAGAATATTCTCTATTTAAAATCATGCTTTTGAGATGACTAATCTTTTCTTTCATTTGTACCAAATTATTTCTATTTCTCTATCGGTGTCTCCTTTACATGCCTTTGTTTTGGAATTCTACAGAAAATAAAAATATGAGCCGATTGTTCCACTTTTTGAATGAATCGATTCTCTATTACGAATGCAAAGGATAGTATGTTCAACTTTGCCATTGATCCATAATACACAACAAAATCTGATTGAATTTCATGTTGTATCATGTATGAAAACTTTCTCTGAGGCAGATTATCAACTAAAAAATATCAACTAAAGTGAATTTCTCGAACAATGTCGATTGTTTCATGTGAAATTGAGAGTGTCAATATGCTAATAATCAAATGATATCATTCATGCCAAGTGGTGGATTGTTGTACATACAGATGTGGGCGATTGATCTTTTCATTCTTCATTCTGTATGGTTTGCTTCCGTAATATTTGTGAGATGTTTTCTTGAGTATCTGTTATTTTCTCGGTTTCTCTTCTACATACTTTTTTGGATAAATTTTTTCCAATAGGATGTCTTCGACTGTTTACCAGATTTCTACTACTTAGAATATTTAAGAATCATTGAGAATTATGTATATTCGTTCGTATGAGAGTTGGTTTCACTTCAATGGAGAAATTTGAAAAACACGAAGGAGCACACATTACATAAACGGGTTCTTAAATTTTGGTGACAAATCAATAACATAGAAAAAAAATGTTTCTTAATAAGAAAGCAAAGAACAACTTCACAATATGTTCAATTATTATTAAACTATTTCCGAATTTTCGATCGAAAATAGAATTTTTCGCATCAAACCATCTTCATCTGTATCTACATGGTTTTCATCCATCAGTAGCATTTCACCTGAATCTGATCGGTTTTCTAAATAGACAAACGAAAATAAACATTTTCTTTTAAATATGAGTAGTGCTATCATGATTACCAGGTGGAATACTTAAAAAATCTACTTCAATTTTGATAAACATAGTATCATCTTGTACATATTGATTTCGATTTTGTTGAAATTTATTAAGCGAAATAAACTTTTTGATACCATATGCTTCGTTCATTTCCAATCATGGGCGTTGAAAACAGATCGATTGTTTATTAGGCCAAAAGAACTCGCTCAAATGATGTCGATCGTTGTCAATAGTTAATTGATTGATTAGAGAAAACATCACTTTGAAAGGAAATGGCCATTTGAGAATAGCATCATATTCACCACGCATTAAGATAAAAAATATTGACATATGTGTATCTTGAGCACTATCAGTTCCATTTAAGAATAGTCTTGCACGCATTTTGTAACCTGAAGATGATGAATGAAATTCTGGAGAATAAATTGATCGTTGTCGTTCAAACTTAGCATCATCTTAAAATTGAAAATGAATTCCATAATAGAAATAGTCATTTCTTTTTCAACATAGATACCTACCGATTCTTTCTTGAACGTTACTAATTTTCCATATTAATATACCATTGAAAGATACAATCTGTCTGTGTTCGAAATGATATTCTAATGATAGAACATCTTTCATACAAGAATCTTGAACAATTCTCATTCGATCCAAATGATTTTTCACATTTTGAGACAAAGATTTAAGTAAAAATAATTCATGGTTTTTTGATTGAAGTGCTTGTTGGTGAGAATAAGATTGATTTCGAATTTGTTCCATTCTAATATATAATAATGATGTATGACCTGACAGATTAGAGATTCTTTCATGAAATTGAGAGTATCTCATCATTTTTTGTTGATCATTTTTTATTTTTATAGATTGTAAATAACGAAGAATGTTTATCAACATTAATTGATGTGTTCCAGTCATATAGTGTTCCACTATTTTACTTCGTTCGACCTAAAAATGATTATTTTCGTATACTATTTAATACAATTATCATTATTATAAATGACGATTACTTGTTCAGTACACAAAGAAAAAATAAAAAATCTATCGACATGAGTGTGATCAAGATGATCCTTTGAATAGAATGAGAATTATCATGAATGATATGAAACAAGTAATCAATCTTTCTTACTTGATATATTTTTAATGGTCCAGTCCAATCACAAAATGAACAAAATATTGATAAACATTCTAACTCAGCTTGAAAAGCTTTATCCAAAGAAACCTAACATATACAACAAAAGAAATAATCGATAGACATTCATTATCAAACGTACTTCATCAGTGGTGGAAGTTTTAGAACATGATAAGCAATGAATAGTTCTACAAGATAATATACGAAAAAGTTACAATTTAAGTAGTCGAAATAGAAAAAAATAACAAGAATGTTTACCTATGTTGTAAATTTATGCATGATTGACATTGTCGATGTCCACAATGAAGTCGATAAGGATCTCGAAAAATTAATCGACAGGATGGACAAATAAAACATTGATCAATATCTTCAATATTTTTCACGAAAAACCCGTTTTTCGGGAAAAGAACAGATCGTTGTAATATTCGAAAACTATGATTATATGGTATTAATGGTTGGAACGAATGATTTTCTTCAATTGATGAAACTTGAAGATTCAAATTTGTTCTGTTATTATTAAATATAATAGCTTCATTAGCATTACCATTGTCAAACTTTTTCTTTGAAATTCGTAAACGACGAAACCGTATGTTTTTGTATTTAGATTGATAGAAGTTTTGATCGAATTCGAAATCATCGTCATTATCATCGTATACACTAATTTCTACCGGCATCAAGCGTGGAATAGAATCAGAAAGGAAGTTTTCAAGATCGTTTTTAGAAATACATGCATCAATGCGATTCCCAAAAACGATGGCACCGATAGACCATAATGTGACAAATATAATTTCAGGAAAATCTTCACAAAGAAATTTACGCCAATCTTTTGTAAAAGGATTACCGAATACATAAACATACATTAACAATGAAATCATTAAGAACATACTGCACACATTTGTGAAACCTTGGATGATAATGTCCAGCCAGAAGAAAATACACAAGCTTCGATGGTTGTATGTACTAACGAAGTATATGTTGAGCAAATATATGATAGGACAAAAGTAGAGCTGATACGCAAAAGAACGAAAATCAGATATTTTCATGTTTGAAAACAACAGCTTTTTGATCGAAATGATATTCTAGAAAAGAAGTGAAAAACATAGCATACATTAGATATGAACAAAAAGCTAAAGTTTAAAACAAATCCAATAATTATTAAACTTAAAAACTGATACCATATTACCAAAAGGATCAGATCGACTTGAATGTGATAATGAATAAAGAAGGCATCTTCACTAATCTGCCGACAAACTAATACACTAGCACTTACATTCGAACAGAATATGTTGATGATTTATTAATCAGAAGAACAGCTTTAAAGCAGAGAAAAAAAACTCAGGAATTGTGAGAATGTTTTTCTATTTTTTCGAATATTGAGATAAATTGAACGTTTTTTGTCTTGCTGTCCTTTCAGATCGAAAAGACTTCAATACTCACTTACATAAAATGAGTTGACCTCTCTGCTTGACGAAATATTCGATCATCTAAATAAGATCTGTGACAGAGCCGTGTAACAAACAAAACTTGTTTAAAAAAACTGAAATAAGTTGTGTGACGACAACCTAGTACTTCTCTTTTTTCACACGATCTTATGATGGTAAAAATGAATACACTATTGAAAAAATAATTTTCATTAGATATTGATTCACTCGTCCCTAGATTGACAGTTGTTGGAGCTTTGATATTTGAAGAGTTGCACTTTGTGTTATGCTAATTTTCATAAAGTGTGATCAAAATAGTTTCAACACTCTTTGGAATTAAAATCAAACATGATTAGATGACATTGAAAAATACATAAAAAAGGAAAAAAGTGCGTTTTTTTCGGTCATAGGAAGTGAGCCAAACATGCTAACCAAAGAAACGTGGTTCACTTCATATAGACAACATGGACCAATCAAAATGCGAGTTCTTACTTTACCGCCATCCAACTATTTTCCCAAAACAGGACAATAGTACTCACAACCCGGAAATACCATTCCCATAACAGAACAATAATACTGACAACCCGGAAGTACTATTCCCATAACAGAACAATAATACTCATAACCCGGAAGTACTATTCCCAAAACACAACACAATTGTTCTGTTTTGGGAATAGTACTTCCGGGTTATGAGTATTATTGTTCTGTTATGGGAATGGCACTTCCGGTATCAGAGTACCATATATTTAAAATGGGTATAGTACGGACTAATGGACTCCATTTTGGCTCACACCAACTTTGGCTCACTTCATACGACCGTTTTTTTCCTATCATAGAATCTCACGAGACGCATTAGTCAAAAAGCCATACAGTAACACCAGATAGGATGAGATTGTAGAAACATACTTCATAGACGGACATTTTTGGTTTTCATATTAATTTAATTTCTTAGACCAAAGTCTTTCACATCAAGGAATATACCTCGCATGAAGGTAAAACCATCCTTTCGAAAAGAAAAAAAAATAAATTGTACTAGGATTCACGATTTCAAATCGATTTTGACATGAACAGTAACTTTTTCGTTTTATAAATAGTACATTTCAGATCTTAAGATCAAATATCCAACCAACTTGAATATTGCAAAGTTGAAAGATATACACGTTTCAGTAAAACTAAAAAACCTATGAAAAGTTCACAGCCCTATAATTCATAAACAAATCAGAAATCTCTCAGGTTCCTTGCTACATCGGTATATATAAATATCTTTATAAAAGTTTCAAACGTACTGCAAAGAGAGAAATAGAAGCAGTTACGACAATGAATACATTGTTATTCTTTATGCATCCGTTAGCTAAATAATAACCATGAAAAGTGAACTGTTGTGACAGAAATGGTGATTTTACAGATATGTTACAGACAGACATTTTAGATTTTAATCTAGCTTTCTAGACTTTAGACCTTTCAGTCTAGGAAATAGTGTCAAGATAACGTTTGTGTTTTAATAAACTAACTTCTTTTCTCTATAAACTCTTACCAAAGAGAAGAAAGTTAAATTTCCCAGTTCATTTTACTGACTTCAATTTTTGTCAATACGTTATGTTTAACGTAAACGATAGAGTATTGAACTATTTTTTCATCCAATTTTTACACGGAAATAGATGAAAATCTTATCAAATCGATTCGTATTCTCATGGGTTCCAAAACATCTAAGTACGCGTGAAATTCATCCACGAATACATAAAAGTTAGATTAGTTTAAATAAAATCAACATATGCATAAAAAAATCTCTGTATTAAATGATTTATGCATGAAATTATTTTAATCCATGAAAAAATATTTTCCGCGAGACATAACACATCACTGTACCTTGACTATGCATGTCTGAAAACAGTGAATAAAAGATTAAAAGAATTAGGACAATCAATAGAAGCAAAAACAGAAACAGCAGAAAGAATAAGACATACGCAATAGAAACAAATTCCCAGTGACGAAAGCTTCAAGAAAGAAAAAAATTTATTACTTTATCTTTCAGACACTTGGACAACTGCGAAAAAGAAAAAAAATGAGTGCAAATATTTTGTTTCAACGATATCCACTCTCTTATGTCTTCGCAAAATAGTATGACTTTTCTCTTTTTTCATTGTTGCACGTTATATATATTTTGATTGTGAGGTGTGCGTGGGTCTGAGTCTGGGTGTCGGTATGAGATGTGAACGTGGATGTAAGCATACTTGTTAGCTATATCAACATTCATATAAATGAAAATACTAGAGATTGTTCCATGAAAGATGTTATTGACGTCGTAAGAGGAAGAGTTCTTTTGTGTTAGTTCCACTAGAACTCGCACATTTAATATTAAAGTTTGATGAACAATTTGAACAATGTTTAGAAATTCGAAGTTTTAGCAATAACATTTAAAAGAACATGGATGGCGTGAAGAAAAAGGAGTGAGGGGGTGTCAGAAAAAATTTCTTGAGTTTTGGAAGTGTATGTACACCGGTTTATTAAAGTGAGAGGTGTCGACTCTTTTTTAGTCTTTTTGAGATTTTGTTTTAAATAAGAACTATGATTTCAGCTGGAAAAAAACGAAAATTTTCTAAAACCGAGAGAGTGTGCACCCTACAGTGGCTAAATCTTTGTAGAAGAGAACTAAACAAATGTTCGATAATATGCCAATATATAAATTTTTTTTTCCATTCTGTTTACTCAACATGATTTATTAAATAATATTTCAATTCATCAAAAATCTATTGAAGCCATGACTATCTGTAACAAAAGAACTACAAGCAGGAAGAAAGATACCGAAGTATCGCTTCATGACTTATTTCAGTTTATGACCAACTCGAATTTAAAAAGGAAATATCCTTTTGCAATGAATCATCATCGAATCATCTTGCCATGTGATGTTATAATTAGATTGCTAAATAATCGTTGAAAATTATTTTGATATTTTCTAAGTAACGTATTCTTTAAAAAATAAAGGCAAAATCACTATTTTAAGCTTGTTTTCAGATTGTGCTAGAGCAAATCTAGTGAAGTTCACAAACTGTTTAAAAAAAAATTGGTCTCGAAAATTGAATTTATTCATAAAAAACTGTATGTTTTTTCAATAGATCGATTTCATCAAGGTTCATGTAAATAAATTTTTAGAAATATTATAGTTTTATCTTTCAAAACTTCCTATTTTGCTTGTGTATTGATTTGAATTTCTCTAAAATAAATAGGATATATATTCAAATAAAAACAAAAAAAAAGAAACTAAATGATTTTGTTCACACTGAATGAGATACTCAATGAAGTACTAAAGTGAATAATTGTTGAATTAGGGGTGGGACTTTACCTTTACTTTACTAGTAACTAAGTAACTACGGTAGTTACTTATTTACCAGTAACTAGTAACTAAGTAACTACGGTAGTTACTTATTTACCAGTAACTACATATTTACTTAGTTACTAGTAACTACTTAAATACTGGCTCCTATTGAAAAGATGAATGTCGCATTTGTTTATTTACTTTATTTTCATTGACCTCATGGTGTTGATATAATCATCAATAACTAACTTATGTGGAATTATATCAACATAATTCAACTGATGTAAATATAAAATGAGTTTAACTCGATTGTGAATTTTATTTGGAGATGTTCAAAATGGACGACATTTTCATTGATTTTCACAATTTATATAATTTAAACGCTATATGTAGAGATGGAACGATAACGATAACAGTACTCACAGTTGTCAATACAATTATGCTAAAATATGGTACGTTTGCTGGTTCAAATCGGTTTTCATCACAAACAGCATCTATTAAGAAAATAATACTTTATTGTAAATGTTGGCTAAAGTAAATTGTGGGCAAGAAATTCGAATCTGAAATCAAACTTTAAAAGTTTTGAGTTAAAGTTTTTTACGCTAAGGAAACGACTTTATAAGGAAAATTATCTCTTATAAAAGTTGGCGAAGGGGGATTGGGGCCGAGGAATTGGATCTGATATTAGTTTCCTGAAAATTTGAGTTCTACGTTTTTTCCTTGATAAAGTGTCTTTGTGTAAGTGATGAATTTCTCAAGAAAACTTTTTATTCGAAAAAATTGTTTGTTACTTTTTCCACAAAAGATAGTTTTTCTTCTAAAAATAAATTCATATGAACAAAAGCAGAACTCAAGTTTTCAAGAAACTGATATCACATTCCAATTCTTTGACACTAATCTCTATTCGTCAACTTTTATAACAGATTCATTTTCTCTTATAAAGTCGTTTCCTTAACGTAAGAAACTTAAGTTCAAAACTTTTTAATTTTGACTTTAGATTCGAACTACTTAACCCCAAATTACTTTGATCAACCTTTACAACAAAGCGTTATTTTCTTAGGAAATGCTGTTTGTGATGAAAATCAAATTGAACTACTAACTGTACCAAATCTTAGCGTAATTAATT